AAAAAAAAAAAAAAAAAAAAAGAATAAAATAAAAGTTCATTTTATAAAAGTAATGATTATTACCTCTAGATTAGTAGCATTTTAGTACCATTTCATTTTGTCTAATATTGTTTAATTTTTTGATATTGTATAAGTAAAAAAAGATTTGATATTTTTGTGACATAAGTTTTATATTTGAAAGAAATAAAACATTATAGGCATCTTCAGTAATATTCACATTAATATTATACAATATAATTTCAGTTAGTGTGAGCTGAGCAATCAGTTCTTTGCAAGGTTTAACTCACTCCTTTGGGATCAGTGGAAATGCTAGCTTTTGATTCATAGTGACCAGTTGAAAATGAAGATAAAATAAATTTTTTGATCCAAGTGTATTTGCTTATAAATTCATGGATTTGGAAATAAAACTACAAAAGCAGCATTAATTCAAATTCCTTTTAATTTTTCTTCCAGGAAAAAGTCTTATTGTGCCCAAATTCTAACTAGCATGGATGCTCTTCAACTTATGATGGGGTTATATTCTGATATATGCATTGTAAGTTGAAAATAATGTAGGTGGAAAATGCATTTAATATACCTAATCTACTGAACATGATAGCTTAGCCTACCCTACCATAAACATGAGCAGAATACTTACTTTATACATACTCTACTATTGGGCAAAAATCATCTAACACAAGTGTATTTTGTAATAAAGTGTTGAATAGCTCATGTGATTTATTAAATACGGTACTGAAAGTGAAAAACAGAATTTTTGTATGGGTACCTGAAGTGTGGTTTACTACTGAATGTGCATTTCTTCCACACCATTATGAAGTTGAAAATCAGTAAGTCAAACAATTGTAAGTCAAGAGCTGTATGTGTATTTTTAGAATTTGTCATTATTATTCTTCAAATGGGTTTTTATTCATCTATAGTAGAGGCATTTTACATACAAAAATATTAAAATATTTTTCAGTTGAATGAATTAGCATTGTATTATTGTAAAATATCAAATTTATATATTTTATAAGATCCTTCTTAACATGTGCCAGGATTTTTCATTAAATTCTCATTTGCATTCGCATCATTTGTACTTCTTTCTTTTACTGAATATCTTTTCTTTTTATTCTTGGTATTCTCTACTACATGTTCTTTGAACTCGCTATTTTTTAAAAAACAATGTCATGATCTTGTATATGCTCATAACTCCTACTTCTAATTTCTATTCAAGAGCAGCCTCCCTGGGAAATGCTCAGTTGATAGCCTTGGGTTGACTTCATTGTTTCATATCTTCATATTCTACTATTGTGTATGTATACCTTTATACAGAAATGTCCATATTGCATTGTAAATACTTGTTTGCATGCCTATCTCTAAGTTTATCTGTAGCCCTCTGCCAAAACAAATACACTTTGCTTTCTTTTTATTTCCTACAAATTGCATAGAGATTTGAATATACTGAATTTAATTTAATGCTTGAAATATTTTGGCAAAATTGTAATAAAAATTATTTACAAATCTTACTCTTTGACACCAAAAATTACTTAACAATTAAAATGAAATATTGGGGGCCGGGCGCGGTGGCTCAAGCCTGTAATCCCAGCACTTTGGGAGGCCGAGGGCGGTGGATCACGAGGTCAAGAGATCGAGACCATCCTGGTCAACATGGTGAAACCCCGTCTCTACTAAAA